CTCCAGGGAAGCCCTCTGGCCTTTGAGGCCCTCAATCTCGGCCTGAAGCCGGCTGATGTTCCGGTTCATCTCGGAGATCTCAGTCTTCGTATGCCACAGGTTATCCCCGTGCTTCCCAGCCAGCTTCTGCAGCTCCTCATACTTGACCTGGTATACACTCTCCGCCTCAGCCCGGCTGCGATTGGCGATCTCCTCGTACTGCGCCTTGACCTCAGCGATGATGCTGTCCATGTACAGGGAGCGGCTGTTGTCCATGGACTGCACCACAGAGGTGTCGGAGATCTGGGACTGCAGCTCCCGGATCTCCTCTTCATACAGCTGCCTGAGGAAGTTGATCTCGTCAGTCAGTCCTTCCAGGCGAGACTCCAGCTTTACTTTGTTCATGTAAGCTTCATCCACATCCTTCTTGATGAGGACAATTCATTCTCCATCTCTGTACGCTTATTGATCTCTTCCTCATACTTGTTCTTGAAGTCCTGCACCGGCCCCTGCATGTTGCCAAGCTTTGCCTCCAGTTTCAGCTTCTCCTGGCCCAGAGTCTCCAGCTGCCGCCTCAGGTTGTTGATGTAGCTCTCAAACATGTTGTCCATGTTGCTCCCAGCCGTTTTCTGCTGCTGCAGGAGGCTCCACTTGGTCTCCAGCATCTTGTTCTGCTGCTCCAGGAACCGCACCTTGTCGATGAAGGAAGAAAACTTGTTGTTGAGGGTCTTGATCTGCTCCTTCTCCTGGGTACCCACGGCCTGGATGTTGGGGTCCACGTCCAGCTTAATGGGGTTCAGCAGGCTCTGGTTGATGGTGACGGAGGTGATGCCTCCCGTGCCTATGCCGCTGGCCCCCGCATAGCCTGCCCCCAGGCCACCGCGGAAGCCAGCGCTACTCACTCGGGAGAAGCTCGAGGAGCTCGAGCGGGCACTGGGCCCACTCGTGAAGGAGTGGCTGCTGAAGGCCCCGGGGCCAGAGGTGGACACCCTGTAGGACTTCTGGGTCACCCTGATGGACATGGTGGAGGCAGGAGTGGAGGCAGGCGGGCTGAACCAGGGAGAGATTCCAGAAGGAGCGGAGAAGCTGCTGCTTCAGCCGTATTTTTATATCATTTTATTTATTTATTTATTTATTTAGAGACAGAGTCTGGCTCTTTGTTGCCCAGGTTAGAGTGCAATGGCGCAACCTCTGCCTCCCCGGTTCAAGCGATTCTCCTGCTTCAGCCTCCCGAGTAGCTGGGATTATAGGCATGCGCCACCACGCCCGACTAATTTTTTATTTTTAGTAGAGATGGGGTTTTACTATGTTGGTCAGGCTAATCTGGAACTCCCGACCTCAGGTGATCCGCCCGTCTCAGCCTCCCAAAGTGCTGGGATTACAGGCGTGAGCCATTGCGCCCAGCGGTCTCAGACTTATTTTACCGGCCCCTATTCAACATGGAGTAGCTCTGGTTTAAATGTTTCTGACAGTGTTAGTTAGTGTTAGTTTCTGACAGTTCTCAGAAAATTAGCCAATGGAGGGTCTCAGGAAACCTCAGGACGCAGTGCTATAATAAAACTGCAGGCAGCAGAGGCAGCCTTAGGGCATGCGGTCCCAAACACTTGGAAACCGCTGCAGAAAAGCTCTGGAACTTTGGACAGTGGCCCCGGGAACAGCCGTAGACTGACGCTCTGGAAAGTCTCCTCCCATATACGTCTCCCACTTCAGTGGTGGGTCCCAGAAGCAGGGAGCCCGGGTGGAGGAAAGTTGCGGGAGTTGTCGCATTCCCGGGGCTCCTCTGGAGGGTTGGCCTCCCCTACGGGCATTTGTGGCTCCTTCCAGAAGCCGGATTCAGAGTGGGTGACTCTGGGTCCCCCCTCCAGGTGTCCTGTGCTCTGGGAAAGTAATCGTTTTTCGAGTAGTCCTAGCGAAGAAGCACACAAGGAGTGGAAAGCAGGTCGCAGTGAATGTTCTTGGCCGTCCTGGGGAACTGGAAATGGTAAGGACAGAAAGCGAGCATCCAACACAGCCAGTCTACTGAGCTCAGGGCTGAAAGCATCTCGGACACCTCCCCCACCCTCACAACCCTACCCTTTCCTCTGCAAAAGCCGGAAGCTGCCAAAAGCCTCAGGGAGACAGCTGTTCCATCTTGATGGAATGTCTCACGCGAGGTGACACGGAGTATCTGGGATTTAGGAGCCACCATCGTTTGTGTTCTATACTCTTCTGGCTTCCTGGGCGGTACAAATCAGTTTACAGTAAGCGGAGGTCTGGCGCGGTGGCTCACGCCTGTAATCCCAACACTTTGGGAGGTTGGGGAGGGAAGATCACCTGAAGTCAGGAGTTTGAGACCACCCTAGCCAACATGGTGAAACCCGATCTCTACTAAAAATACAAAAATTAGCTGGGTGTTGTGGCGGGCACCTATAATCCCAGCTACTTGGGAGCCTGAGGCAGAAGAATCGCTTGAACATTGCACTCCAGCCTGGGCGACAGAGGGAGACAAAAAAAAAAAAATTATTAGATGACACTATACCATAGGCAAGAGATCCTCTAATTGAGCACAGTTTAAAAATTGAGACATGATCGTTTTCATGTTTTCATTCCCATCCATGAAGCTCTGTGGTTGTAGGTTACAATCTCATTTGGAGGAAAAATTTAACATCTAAATTTGAGGTTTTTCATGAGTCTGAGGCCTTGGTTGATTGGACTTCCTATTGGACCCCATTGGCTCCAAGCCTACACAATCTTATTAGACTGAAGCTTAGTCCTCTGAATGGGGTCTTGGAACCAGAAGCTTGGTTCTTGGGATATATTCATCAATGTTTTTCAGATTTGTAAATACATTTTTTCAAAAATAAGGTTCAGAGGATAGCAGTTACACTCTAATGAGAGAATAGACATCTAAAATATGAACAGGGGTTCCCCAATGCTGCTCCACTTATTTTTTAACAATCAGACTCTGAAGTCCCATATCTACATATTTCTCTGCATGGCTATTTTTACCAAGTACTTCCATAATATAATCCAACTTACAAATATTTATAATATTCAGCGGAATTCAATACAGTGAACTTAAGAATCATATCTCTTCAAGTAACCCCTTAACAGCCATCTGATTATGACTCAAATCCAGGTATTCTAATTTATTCTGGAAGCAGATACCTCTCAGATCCACTCTGAGTACATTCAAGTCCTCTATAGGCTCACTCTAATGGAGGCAAAGTTTCAGCTGCACTAGAAACATTTGAGTCATTCCAGATTGTCCAGCCTAGAAAGGTTAAAGTCAGACCTTCAAATCAATTGAGTTCACTGGGGTCTAGCATCTCAACCTCTTTATTCCATTCACTCACATATCTACTTTCCTATTTTGAAATACAAAGGAGCACCAAATTCACATAAATCTTTTCTTTCTCCTACTTAGACAGAGTCTCATTCTGTGGCCCAGGCCTGAGTGTAGTGCCACAAACAAGGCTCACTGCAGTTTCGACCTCCTGGACTTCAACAGTCCTCTCGCCTCAGCCTCCCCAGTAGCTGGCACCAAGGTGCGTGCCACCACCTTGGGTTAATATTTTTTTATGTTTTATAGAGGTGGTGTCTTCTCATGGTCCCCAGCTGGTCTCAAACACCTGAGTTCAAGCAATTCTCCACCTCAGCCTCACAAAGTGCTGGGATTATAGGCCAGGCCACCATGCCTATCAAAATTCACACAAATCTATACCTCCAGCTCAGACCCTGATGCTATAGGCCTGTATTCCTTCTAATTTACTGAATGCCTTTTTTGGAAGCCCCCAGACAATTCTAAATCCGGTCTTAGGCAACTTGAGGATTCCTCATCTTGGCTAATGACAGCCAGAAAAATAATTAGTTCAGTACAATGCAGAAATTTTATCTTAAAATAAATTTTATCTTTTCTGGCTTCCTTTCTTCATCTTCTTTCTTTTCCCTCCTTTCTTCCTTAACTATACTAACCCTAAATCTATCCAGGTGACTGAATACTTCATGGCATATTACTTGTCATCCTCTACATCAGCATCCCCCTTCCCAGGAGAAATGGCATCTTCCCTTTCACTTTCCTCAGAGGTTTCCAGGGAAGTCCATCTAGAAGGGTCCTCCTGGTGTTCCCTAGATTTAAGGAAAAGCATATTCCTCTGACAGGGCTGCTATTTGTTCAAATTAGCACCATGACATTCATGAATTCTGTTACACTGTTAAATCAGAATTCTACTTTCAGAATTCCAAGTTCACAATGTCCCAAATCACCACTGATTTTCTCCCACGGAAAAGACACAGACATTTACTCGCCCCCCCCCCNGGAGACTCCTCAGCATAGGCTGCCATGGCGAGGAACTTTCTTCCCTTACAGATGTCTGGGCCCCTGCAGAGTCTCAGTTAAAAAGCATCAATAAATCTGTTTTTACATGAAGTATGTGCCATTCCAGGAATGTAGGAAAGAAGCTTCCTAGGTGTGTGTCTTCCTGAGAGGGATAGTGATATGAAGATAGCACTTGTGGATTATGCTTGTTTATACCATGGAGCAGACACCAGGGTGTCTCCTTTGGAGGGAGCCCTCATGCGAAACTTACTGTAACATTGTCAATGTGGTGGGACCATTAGGAGCTCACTAATAAATGCAGTGTGCAAATACCCTATCTTATTTTATTTATTGGTTTTTCTTTCAGTACTTTTTAAAATTAATTAATTAATTAATTATTAAAATAAATTATTTTATTTTAATGTTAATAGTCTATAGGGTACAGGTGGCTTTTGATTACATGGATAAGTTCTTTAGTGGTGATTTCTAAGATTTTAGTGTACTTGTCACCTAAAAAGTATACACTGTACCCAGTATATAGTCTTTTCTTCCTCACCCTGCTAGTCCCCAAAGTCCATTGTATATAATTCTTATGCCCTTCCATCCTCATAACCTAGCTTCCACTTATAAGTGAGACCATACCATATTTGGATTTCCATTTCTGAGTTACTTAGAATAATGGCCTCCAGCTTCATCCAAGTTGCTGCAAAAGACATTATTTCATTCCACTTTATGTCTGAGTAGTATTCCATGGTGTATATATACCACATTTTGTTTATCCACTCATTGGTGGATGGGCACTTAGATTGATTGCATATCTTTGCAATCGCCAGTTGGAAACACCCCATTTTAAATGTGGGTGTCTGAATGAAGAGACCACAGGTTTTGGGTGCTGCTATGTCCATAATCCCAGTAATAAAGTGGATTTTCACTATCATCCAAAAGAGAGAATGCACGCACACTACATCTTTGTGCCCATGAGATATTTGTCATGTCACACCAGCAAACACAGGAACTGAATTTTTAACTTAAAAGACCAACCATTTAATTTTCAAACTACAGTACATAAAACAGGAGCAGCTCTGAAGTGGTTTTATATTTTAAGAGCATGATTTTTAGTTTTGCAATTGCCTCTCACACTCTGAATGTTCAATTATTGATTGAACAGATTGTTATGATCCCAATAAAATAAAGTTTTAAGCTGAGAATCTTGCCTTGCCACACAGCTGCGTTCCACTTCAACAATGCTTTGGCTGCGATGGAAACCTGTCTCCTTTAAAGGAGCCGTGGTGGGGACCCCCCCAGAGACAGTAAGAAACAGCATGCTATCCTCACCACAGTCTGTACTCTGGGGAGTCCCCACCATAATTCTGTCTCATTCTGCACAGTTGCAAAGCCAATGGTGATGACAATAATAAACACTTCATCCACATGTCTGGTTCCATGGACAGCCATCTCGACTTTCTTTTTCTTCCTGCAGTGCCTTGTCTTTGAAGATGCTCCCAATGGGGTGGAGGCAGCCCTGGCAGCTGGGATGCAGGTGGTCATGGTTCCAGATGGAAACTTGAGCCGAGACCTGACGACAAAGGCCACCGTGGTGCTGAATTCCCTGCAAGACTTCCAGCCCGAGCTGTTTGGTTTGCCTCTCTATGACTGAAAGAGAGGGCCTCACTTTGCCACCCCCCAGCCCACTCTCATGGTCCACACTGCTGGGGAAAAGAAAAGGAAATCAGCAACTCTCAAACCCCAACGTGCACAGTGATTTTAGCCTCCTGAGATTGGTGTTTCCATCCTGCGTTGGCTTGCCCTACTCTAGCGTATTGATAAAACGTGACTTGACAGTTGAGAGAAACACGGTAGAGACAGAAACGAAGCCCAGAACAAAGATGAAACTTGAATTACCATCTCAAAAATCAGGCTGACGGACTATGCGATAAAGTGAATGTACATGTATACATCTACACATGCACCTCTATATATGCAGATGTATATCAGTAAGTTAATATGCATGTAGGAAATTACATGTGTATGTATGTAGATATATGTGAAATACATACTTTTCAAAGACAAAAATGGAACATCATTTCTCTTTTATTCTAGTTTTTCTGAACACTGGGAAATGTAAACTGTGTATGCATATAAGTATATGCTTTATATATTCATATGTATGTACATATATCTGTCATCTGCATCACTCTCCTCAGTGTTGATGTCAGCATACAGTGACAACTGATAAAGAGAGATGGTAGTTCTGCCTGGCTTCCAGTCTGAGTGGGAAAGCCCTGCTTTTATGAGCACTAAGAAGTGCTTCTCCTTGTTAGCTAACATTTAAATTCTTTTTGTGACCTCAGAATGTCTCTGGATCTTTCCTCATTGACTGACTCTGAGCCACATCATCCATAGTTTATTGTTAGTATGAACACAACTGTAGCATTTACCTGGTATCTACATCCTTATCTACATTGGAGAATGCTTTCTACCTCAGAGCAAACATTTGCCTCCTTAAAGAACACTGATGGCCTACACTTTTTGGATAGAAATAGAAGTTGATTTCAGAAAGTATGCTTGGTGAGTCTGAGTGCCCTGGGAACACTTTTGGAATAATTTATCAGACATTGAACTTCTGTGATTAATTGCTTTTATCGATTTACACAGTCTTTAAAATTTGTCTGTGATTTGCCAGAGAAAAATGGTGGTAGCCATGGAAATCGGGAGTGAAGGAGTGCTGCTCCATTGTGGTTCAGCCCTTCCCAGTGGCCTCTGCCCTTTGATGTCCTTGAGAAGATCTTCAAACCTGGAAGTTGCAGACAGACCATAGGAAGGCATGTATGTGTGTGGTGGAGTGATTGTCTGTAGATGACAGGCCCTGGCTATTGCATCAATTTAGCAAATTTATTTCTTCATTCCCAATGGCCTATATACATGTGCACTTTCAATGCTCCTCTTAACCAGTTGTATTGTCTGTTTCCCTAACAAATTGAATTAGTTTAATAAAATCTTTTAACACAAAAAAAAAAAAAGTATTGTCTGTTTCCCTAACAAATTGAATTAGTTTAATAAAATCTTTTAACACAAAAAAAAAAAAGACACAGACATTTAATTGTCAGTCAAGACTTTTTCAGGAGCTCTTGGAACCTGTCAGTCAATACAGCCCTAAATTACCAGAAGCAAATGGAACCAGGAAGAAGAAAGTCCCAAAGTAACCAGGAAAGAGAACACCTGTGGAGGTGCATTGGTGTGGTAGTCACAGACCTACGAAAACAACAACAACAACAAACAAGAAAACTTTCAGCAGCACAGTGAATGTAAAACAGAGAATAGGCAGGAAGGGAGAAGGGGGAATCTTCAATCCCAGAGACCAACAGCAAATGGTTCATTTTTTTCTCGTAGGTGAACCTAGTGACCTAGTAGAGTTCTGCTTTGGCACCAAGCAAAATTCTTCACTTTCTAATTTCAGGCGACTTTCCCTGGGGCATTTTTGCCTTTTACTTTCTGTCTAGCCTCCTCCATGGTCTTTGTTTTTACCTACTCTACTAGACTTACTGGTTTTAAGTGTTAAATTTTTTTCTGAGCCTAAAATCAAGAGTCAATACCTGACAAAGAAGCAGATTGTTAAAACCTAGAGTTTCTCTGTATCTGGAAAGTAATAATGTGGATTCTTGCCCCCTCATTCATTAGTTGCACAGCTTCCTCCAACATAACAACTGGCCAGAAGATTCACCTGCGCACCGCCTGAGTGTTGGAGACTTTTCCCTTCTTTGGTCCCTCCCACCGCCTACCCCCTCTTTTTCTGTTTTGTGTCACTTGCATTTCTTTAACAACGTTCTAACAAGATTTATCATTATGGTTATCTTGATTTGATTAGATTTTTCTTAATGAAATACAACACAAATATCAGTCTTTCTGAATTCTTTATTGTGTATTTGTTTTGGATGACACACCGGGAAGGGAAATAGGAAAGGCTCTACATCATATGTCGTATGGGCTCCACAATTTGCCATCAAGTTTGAATCCTAGGACCTCCCACCCACACAAAACTGCCATTGCCAGCCTGCTCCAAGTCTACCCAATCTCTAGCCGTTGTCATACTGCAAAGTTCCTATGACCTTCTCCCAAGGAGCATAATCCTGTACTTTACCTCTTTCTGACCTCCCTGGAATCCACCCCGCCTCCAACCACACTGAAATTAGAATCTGAATTCTGGAACTATCTTGATGTCAGTCTGTAGGGGAGCAGCCTGCAGCCTCCTCTGGACTCCCATCAAAACAGATTACCCCTTCTGTCTAGGGGTTGCTAATCCCAGCTTTTTGCTGAGATGGGAAGCTGGGGTAAAAATGGGAAGAGAAGAGAGGTGATAGTTGTTTTGCTTTGCAATGGCTCCAGACTGCTCTTCTATTTGGTAAAGTGGCTGTAACTTTTTGGGTGGGAGCAATGCAGTTTTCCTTTATTCTCCCACCCACAGGACCAGGAGGCAAGTGGATGGGCCTCAAACAACAGAGAAGGTTTTGGCTAGCTGAAGAAGAGGTATGATGGGATGGAGAAATTGAGGCAAATCCCTTGAGAAAGGGTGAGTATTACAAAGCCAAAGTGGATTTCCTCACCTGGCAGGGCATTCTCTGCCTTCTGGCATGGCCTCTGCCTAAAACCCCCCAGAAAAGGACAGTACTGGTTTGCATAGGAGCAGCAGTGGTGAAAATGGGAAATGATGAGTGTGAACAGAGATACTAATGGTAGGGTCTGTAGGTCTCTTTGAGGGGGCTCAACTCACATAGTGCAGGTTTTTTTGGTTTTTTGCTTTTTTGAAATATAAATGCTTGTGGGAAAGGACATTTTCTTACTGGACAGTGGCAGTACCATATTTTTATCAGAAAGGATGTAGGTCTCAGTCTGATTGAAAAGTGAGGGGAGGGAGGATATTCAAGCACTTACAATTCACCTGCATTGCATTTCCGGGAAGAAAGAAAATAAATAAATGATGCATTTCAAAAATCCTGATGCTAGAGACAGAGAACCACAACTTGAGCTTTTCCTGGGCTTAGAGAGGAGACGGATGTCTCCTGTCAGTTCCACGTCCAAAGCAGAGTCTTGCAGCCCATTTTTCTCCCCCGTTGTTTTGAACTACTATCCCCAAATATCAAGGGTATTTGATAGAGTGAACTATCAGAATAAGGAGTGATTCCCACTGAGTTGCATCCCGCAGGGGAGGGACTAGACCGGCGGGGCAGGCCTGAGGCCAGGGTCGAGTGGCACTGTGCCTTTCATTCTTCACGGAGATCTCGAACCTAGAGCTTCCAAGCTCCGAAGAGATGTGCTTGTCGGCCCCTCCCTAAGATCCCTGAGGGCTCTGAACAAGGACAAAAGCCTGGGACAGGGGTGTGGTGTGGAAGGACCAGCCACAGCCATTAGAAGAGCAGCTTCCTGCAGTGTAAAGCTGTTTGCGATCCGCAGGGCTTTTACGTTCTTCCCGGAGAAGCCACATCTGCCTCATTCCGGGTCCTTATTCCAGCTCCTTTCCCTCTGCGAATCATGCTGGGTCCGTCGCTGGGGCCCTGGATAATTAAGAATCAAGGTTCAGCCAAGAAAAATACAGGTTTTCTTAAACCTGAAGGCACTAACTTGAGAAGGGAGAGTGGGAGTAATGCCAGTAGCAGTTTTTGATTTCGTTTTTGTTTTTATTTTCTAGTCACTAGGCCACCAGAGAAAGTTGCACCCAGCGACCAATCGATGCGTCGCAGCCCCGTTCCTTTCCCTGAACCGAGGGTTTGTGGCTAGTTTCTCAGAGCCTGGGAGTGATCGCTGGCAGCAAGGTCGAAAAGAGCGCTCTTTTGTCTTAGGCAGCAATGCTGGCGTTCGCCTCGAGCCCACGCTTGCCGGGTCCTAGCGCCGCCAGATTCACACACGCGCACTGCCCAGCGCCCCACGCCGCTCCTCCACCGATCACCGGTTTCTCTCACACACTTCATTGGCAGCACTGGTCCGACGGGTTTCCGGTTGCGGCGGCGCTAGTTGAGCTGAACAAAATGTTTTCCTGCTCGTTCTGTGCGCCACATTCTCCATCCGAGGGCCTCTAGTCCGGGTGTCACGGTCGCAGTACCCGGCTCCCGTTTCGCCAACAGCGCGGAGTCGGCGGTTTTTCTGTCACAGCACTTGTCGCACGGTGTTTCTCGGTGGCCGAACGTCTTTTTTTCCCAGTCAGCGGTTTCTTGGTGAACCCTGCGTCTTTGGTTCAACTATAACGAATGCTCTCCTTGACAACCCCACCGCTAGTGTGTCACTCGCAGGCTCCCGGCACCGCCATTTTGTCGAACCGGGGTCTCTTGGTCGCGGCACAGCTCGTAGCTCGGCGTCTGCATTTCCTGCGTGGCCGCAGCGCTCAGGTCGCCGATCTGAGGGATTCGGAGTCGCAGCTTCCCCAGTTGCGCCAAGCCTGGCATTCCCCGGCGGCAGCGGCCCTGGGCTGGAGGAGCCCGCCGCTCCTCGGAGCGGGTGACAGGGGAGCTGCCCGGGCGCCATCTCTTCCCAGCGCAGCCGCAAGGGCTCCGGCTCGGCCTCCGGATCCCAGTCCTGTGGCGGCGGCGCCGGCGTCCTTGTAGCAAGACTCCGCGGTTTCGGGCGTCGTTGGCTTCTTGGTCCTAGCAAGTTTCGATTTCGCGGTGCCTGGGATTTCCACCCGCTGCTCAAGTCGCGGAATAGCCATAATGTGATTTCTCAGCCCAAGCAAGTCCCAACTTAAGACAAACACCAGTCTAGCCCTGGCTGCGATTTCTAGGTCGTAGGAAGTCACTGTTTCAACACAGAAAGTCAGAGTTATCCTGTGGCTCATTTTTCAGCAACTCCAGGTCTCCCGTACCCTCAGATTTCTCATTGTAACAAACCTGGAGTTAGCCCTGCCTCAAGTTTCTTAGTCCTGGCCGAGTTCTGGTTTGCTACCAGTAAGCCCTGCTTTCGCTGGTACCCAGATTTCTACAGCTTTTGCCGCCAGCGCCCACTTGGCGTTTTCTCAGTTGCTGCATCGTTCTTAGCGCCCAACGTAAAGTTTCCCGTTCCTGTGGCCTGTAAGTTATCTGTGCTGTCACCTTCTCGGTCCTAGTACCGCTAAATCTCGTAGGAACTTCCTGAACCAGGTTTTATGGTGCAGAACGGTGATTGCACCCAGCTGCCATGGGCCCTAGTACTTCGGTAATACCGTTAGCCGGCGCTTTTCTGTCGCCACACATTAAAACAGGTTAAAACACATTAAACGGATTAAACAGATTAAAACACATTAAAATGTCACAACACATTTAAACAGACTCGGTTCATTCCTCCAAACAGGACGTTTAGGCGTGGAAGCTCCGCTCCTAAGAGCAAGCTGTTTCTCCCCAGCAGCACCGTTTACGGCGCCTGAACGAATATTTGTTTGGCAATACCCCGGCTATCCACTAGGTGCCAGAGTTTGCTAAGTTCCAAGCGCCAGTTTCTGTTTAGCAAGGTCGTTAGTAGGCACAGCTCTAAAGAAGGGTTTTCCGATGGCAGCAATGCTCATTTCCCGGAAACAGGTGGTTCTTGGCACCTGAAGCGCTCTTTAACCCTTGCGATCTGTAGCGCTAGTTCTCTGCAAGGTTAGCTTAGTGTTCGTTTCATTTCGGGTTATTTTCTCTCTATGTTTTTTTTTTCTTTGTCCGAATTATGGTTTGTTTTGGTTCTATGTACTCTCTAAAAATTAATCGTCTTTCCTTTGTCTAATTTTCATGCCTTTGTTACTATTGAGTTTCATATCTGGCTTGCCTCCCACGAGCTCCGGAGAGCATAAATACCCAGGCTGAGGGTAGTGCTGAAGGCTCAGCCTCCTTGATCAGCGCAAACGCTTGTGTCCTCCTGGCCTGAGGCTTAAGCGATGGAGCAGCATTGTCTTGGCCCTGGAAGCAGGCTTGGGATTCGCAGAGGTGGCGCCAGAGTCCCAGAGGATAGTGGGCCTCACCCTTTGTATCCAGTACTAGGAGAGTACTCATTGGACGTCAGGCGTGAT